AAGACTCCAGAGGAAATGTGGTCAGGTGCTCCTGCTAATTATTCTGATTTAAAGATATTTGGTTGCCCTGCATACATGCATGTAAATGATGGAAAATTAGAGTCAAGGGCTAAAAAATGCATTTTCCTTGGATATGCATCTGGGGTGAAAGGATACCGACTATGGTATCCTGATTCCACAGCACCAAAATTTATAATTAGCAGAAATGTAACCTTTGATGAATCCTCTATGTTACATTCTAGAAAAGAGTCTTCTAGTTCTTGTAATACATATAAAGAAAAGAGTACACAGAACCAGGTGGAGATTGAGATTGGCATTCCTTCTGAGCCAAGCTCATCAACTTTGGAGCAAAATACAGTTGAAACTCCTGAAGTTGAGCCAGAAGCTGAAATTCCTGAAGTTGAGACTCCTGAAGTTTAACCAGAAGAAGAGGAGTATTCTATAGCCAAACATAGGCCAAGAAGAGAAGGTAAACAACCATTAAGGTTTCGAAATTATGTTGCATTTGCTTTTTCAGTTGCACAAGAAACTGAAGAAATTGGAGAACCATCAAAATATTCAGAAGCAGTTTCTGGCGTTGACTCATCCAAGTGGCTGATTGCAATGAATGAAGAAATTGAGTCTCTCCACAAGAATTGTACTCGGTCTCTTGTGAAGCCGCCATCAGGAGAAAGAATTGTTGGTTGCAAATGGGTCTTCAAGAAAAAGGATGGCATTTCAGGGGTTGAAGATGTGAGGTATAAGGCACGATTAGTTGCAAAGGGCTATAGTCAGGTTCAAGGAGTTGATTTTAATGAAATTTTCTCACCTGTTGTTAAACATAGCTCTATTCATGTCTTGCTTGCCTTCGTTGCCATGTATGATTTGGAATTAGAATAACTTGGTGTTAAGACAGCTTTCTTATATGGCAAACTTGAGGAACAAATATACATGCATCAACCTGAAGGATTTGAAATTGAAGGAAAAGAATACCATATTTGCTTGTTGAAGAAATCCTTGTATGGATTAAAGCAGTCTCCAAGACAATGGTATAAAAGGTTTGATTCCTTTATGTTGGGTCATGGTTATTCGAGAAGCATGTATGATAGTTGTGTTTACTTCCGAAACTTAAATGATGGTTCATTTGTGTACCTATTATTATATGTTGATGACATGCTCATTGCTGCTAAGGATTTAACAGAAATTCACAATTTGAAAGATCAGCTGAAAGGTGAATTTGAGATGAAAGATTTGGGAGCAGTTAAGAAAATCCTTGGCATGGAGATCAAAAGAGATCGAAAAGCCAACAGGCTATTTCTGACCTAGAAGAAGTACTTGGAGAAAGTCTTGGAGAGGTTTGTCATGAAAGATGGTAAACCAGTTAGTACCCCTCTTGCTGCTCATTTTAAGTTATGAGTTGCTCAATCCCCGCAGTCAGAGGAAGAAGAGAGGTACATGGCACAGGTTCCTTATTCCAGTGCAGTCGGTAATATTATGTATGCAATGGTTTGTACACGTCCAGATATTTCACAAGAAGTGAGCATGGTAAGCCGATATATGGCTTGCCCTGGTAAAGCATATTGGCATGCTGTGAAATGGATTCTCAGATACTTGCAAGATACTTCAAACACATGTTTGGAGTTTGGGAGAAATACTAATACTTTGGTTGGTTTTGTAGACTCAGATTATGCAGGTGATCTTGACAAAAGAAGATCATTGACAGGCTATGTATTTTGCATTGGTGGTTGCACTATTAGTTGGAAAGCTATATTACAACATGTAGTAGCTTTTTCTACTACTGAAGCAGAATATATGACAGTGACCGAGGCAATCAAAGAAGCCTTATGGTTGAAAGGTCTATTTGCGGAACTCAGTTCACACGAAGGTGGTCTTACCATTTTCTGTGATAGTCAAAGTGACATTCACTTGACTAAAGATCATATGTATCATGAAAGGACAAAGCGCATTGATATAAAGTATCATTTCATCCGAGAAACCATTGCTGAAGGAAAAGTCTCTGTTCAGAAGATCAACACTAGAGACAATCCTGCTGACATGTTCACAAAACCTCTTCTAGTGTCCAAGTTCAAGCTTTGCCTAAACTTGATTGGCATTTATGAAGAATGATTTTGCCCATTGGGGTTTTTGCGGCGAAGGTGGAGCAAATTTACTATATAAGCCGAAATTAGGCGGAGGTGAAGATTTGTAATATGGCCATTAATTTGGCTTCTTCTCAAGTGGGGGCCAAATTTTCATGACATTTGCCATGACATAATATCCACTATAACAAATTTGTGGATCATGATATTTGCCATGACATAATATCCACTATTAGGCTAAGGATTTCTTGCTATAAATAGAGGACCTTCTCCTCATTTGTAAACACACCAATTCAAGAGCTTTTCACTCTTATCTTTCTTTCTCCTTCTTTATTTCATTATAGAGTATTTTGTAAGAGAGTGAGTGTTGGGAAACACTTGTGTGAACCCTTTCTTTGGAGTGATCTTGTGAGGTTATTCTCTTGGGGTATTTGGGACTAATTAGAGTATTTACTCTAATTTTGTACTCTTGTTGGTATAGTAAAATTGCTTCTCTCCGCTTGTGGACGTAAGTCACTTTGACCGAACCACGTTAAATTTGTGTCTTCTTTATCTTCTTTAATTGCCGTTATTATCAACTTGCATTGTATTTGTTATTGTCATTATAACATTGTTTGGCTAAATTCCGCATTACCCGATTTCCCGATCCTAATAGTTTGGAACTCAAGTTTTTCTTTAACTTATGATTAAATCTGAATTACACAATTCCTACAGGTACCATGTCTAGCATTTCTTAGCAATGATATTGAAGTCACCTATGTAACAAATCAAATTATTATTTATTGAGTAAAAAAAAGATACTTAACAAATAGAGTATTAAATAACATTGAACAATGAAATTTTTTAAAGTAACAAAATACAAATAAAAATGAATTGCTCTGATTTAGTAATTTTACTAATGTAAATCGTAACCCAAAACCCACCTACTAAATTGAGAATAAAAGAGAGATGACTCAAATAGTTAATGCAGTTAAAATATGCTAAAATAAAAATTGTTTTGGAAAGCCAAAAATATTATATAGAAATATCATAATTTTCTTGTTTGTTCAAGTTTCTTTCTCTCACAAAAATATATATTTATAAAGACCCAAAGTTTTGCTCTCAAACTTAGTTTGTAAAAAAGGAAAACTGAATTCCTTTTTCTTAAAAAGTTATGGAAATAGTAATTTGGGGATCGTGCACCTTGGTTTATGAAACTTGGGATAAAAGAAAGAAAAGGGAAAATAGTCTTCGTCGATAATTCAATAAATTCCTAAATGAAAACTAAAAACTCGAATTCTAATTAACTTAGGAAACACCAATAACTTTGCTTAAACACCAAGCTCACAACCTCTATAAATACAGTATGTACCATAAACTAGAGTTCACGCCTTCAAACCTAATTACACTAGTTACTACGTAGCTTAATTCTCTCATTAGTTTCTCTTTGATTGTATGGCGGCCTCCGTTTGCATCAGCCATCATTTGGTTGTCTTGGTATTACTATTTTCTTGTCTGGTTGTTGTTTCGTCTTTCTCTCTGGCGAGAGAAGCTGTTGGTCCCTTTAATTCCATATACAGTTTCGGAGATTCTTCTTCATCAGCAGCTGATCATATTGCTGCAACACTCAGTTTGCCTTCTCCACAACCATACACCCAACGAGGCACCGAGTTCTTCGAGTCAGGCCTCAGTTTTGCGACGCCCGGAGCGACCATCATGAAGCCCTTTTTCTTCCTCAAGAATGGCATCCCACCGCCTCCTCAGTCACATGAACTTTCTCAGATTTCTACCTTTATGAGGTTCTTCTATGAAGATTGCTTCTCTTTTCATGACTGCGGCAGAAACAATAAGGTTATTCCGAAGGCGCTCATCTTTATGGATCAACCCGGCATCAACGACTACAAGCATGCCTTCTTACATGGAAAATCTAGTTCAGAGGCGTCCCATCTCGTGCCTGAAGTGGTGGAGACAATTAAGAATTCAATAGAAAGACTTATCAATGAAGCTGGAGCCAAAACTCTCATGGTTTCTGGAATTCTACCCATGGGCTGCTTTCCTGGTTTTAGGACTCTGTTTCCCGAGGGCGATTCAATTGGAAAAAACAGATGCCACAGGGGACTTAATATGTTTTCAAAGCTTCACAATGATCACCTATGGCAAGCAATTCTGGAGCTGCGTTTGAAATATCCTGATGTTCGCATCATATATGCAGATTACTACAAAGCATTCATGGCTGTTCTTAAAAACCACGCGTTTCTGGGATTCAAGACGAATAATTTGATGAAGGCATGTTGTGGCAGTGGCAACGCTCCATTCAAATTTGATGTGCAGAAGAAGTGCGGAGAGGAAGGGGTAGCTGTATGTTCTGATAGGGCTTCGTATTTACATTGGGATGGATTTCGATTGACACCTGAGGCTTTGGAGAACCTGATGGATACGCTGTTCAGCAAGAAAGGATTCGTATTCCCAGAATTGAAGGTTGGAGAAGAAACAGCAGCAGCAGTAACAAGGCGTCATTCCAGGATTCATGCACGAGTTGGAGACATATCTTATGTTATTAGGCATTTACTCTTCGTCTAAGCCAGTTTTCTGTATTCAATTCAATAGCATTGGATTTTTTCGTAATCTGTTTAATTCAAAAGATCAGGTTCATATTGCTTCATATGTACAGGGGAATGCCCCTTTTAGCTTCTGTAACAGTTAACGATTCCTTTGATTCATACCAAATAAAAGTATCCTGATTTAATTCAAATATTTTTCTAGAGATGATTCGATGCTTATTATTTATTATCTGTTTATCCTGTTTTTATCTTTCAACCTTAAATTTAAGCCTGAGATTGACAAAAAGGGTTCAACTGTTTGTAAGAAACTTAGTATAAGATTGCTCTTCCCAATTGACCTGGTTAATACTTAATAGTAAGTAACCTGATAAGAATCCAATTATAACGAGAACAAAATACAATAAAAAAGAGTAGAAGGGAGACACTTCCTCACAACGTTGGGCATTATACTGACTGAAAATGTTTACAGTGAAAACTTTCGACTGCTATACCTATTTTCTGATTGCAAAGAAGCTTTCTTCTCTAGAACTAAAAACCAAAGCCCCTCTAAAAGTGAAAATCAAAGATCTTCAAACTTGATCAACAATTTGCCAAAAATAGTGATTTGCCCCTACAAAAATAACTTCATCAGTCGATAACAGTGCCTTGTAAATATCTAATTTTCTGAACTACGAAAGGAACTTCCAATTGCAATACTTCTGCTATCATGACTACAATTAACAACTTAAATATCAAAGGAAACTGGCGCTGCCATTACCACTATTTTAGAAATTCATAATTGAAATTCCACATCCAAAAGTTAAAGGTCATATACTCAAATGGTCAAATAGTAAAGAAGCCTAACCATACTGACTATTACAAAGGGATTACAATTTACAAGTATGCTTAAGCATACTTCAGAAACCTTACACATTATTGGATGACTTTTTCATCATATCATTTAGTTAAGTCTTTCAAAGTCTTTGAAGTTGGAAGTTCAAATTGTTGCTGAAAGTATTCAAGAGCTTTCAAGAGAAACATCTTCTCTGAGTAAGCATTAAAGTACAGCCTAGACCTTAGTAAAAGGACATTCATTTAATTGGAAAGAACAAAAAAATAAGGGCAGAAAATCAGCTTAATGCAACTGCATAAGGAATACGGGGTTTTGCCTCTCAGAACTATTATCATTAGAGTTTATCATAGTTATTAATTAAGTACCTTTTTATTCAGAGATTCCATGCAAGGTGGCTGACACTAGTCAGAACAGAATTTACAAATGTGCAAGATCTATCAAGCAGACTTGCTACAAACGGATTGCATTATCGATTCCCTTTGCCCCTTATAATAAGAAAAGAGCACATAGCACTTAAAGTATGCAAAAATATGTCACAAACAAATACAACACCTTTCTCATTCATAGAACACCTTTGGCCAAGCACCGGCGCCTGTATTATTTTTCTTTCTTTATAACCAAAGGAAAGGCGCCTGCATTATTTTTCCGTAGGGCGCAAGTAGCAGCGAGTTCTAATATGCAGATAAACTACTTCTAGGAGAACAAATGTTATTACCAGTCCAAATACTTCGACGCCGAAGAAGTTATAGCTCCTTCTGTTCAGGATCAATAACTACTGAATCAGGCAGGGTCTTTTCTAGTGACTTCCTAGGCCTTCTGTACCAGAGGAAAGCAAACCACAGGGTTCTGAACAATGCCCCATTTGCAAAGTGTGGAATAAAAATTCGACCCCAATATGGATAATATGGTCCCGGCAATTTTAGCAGAGTGAAGAAAAAGCCAATGGCAATCAAATGCCAAGGAACTTCTGCATTCTAGCATTGTAAACAGAGCAGAAACATGTCAGTATACAACCAGAATTCATTCATGTAATTTTCTTCTTGGACAAAGAAGCAGATCAATATTAGACATACAGCACAAACTTTGGTGCACAATTGCAAAAAGCCAAACAGGGACAATTTTTTTTATTTTTTTATTTTTTTTTGGGGGGGGGNAGGGCCGGACAACAAAGGTCTATTATACGCAGTCTTATCTTGCATTTCTGCAAGAGGCTGTTTCCATGGCTCGAACCCGTGACCTCCTGGTCATATGGCAACAACTTTACCAGTTGTGCCAAGGCTCCCCTTCCTTGAGAGGCAATCTAATAGATACACTTTTTTTTCCTTGAGAAAATATCTAATAGGAGCATTTAATTGGTAATGTCGGATATATTATTTACACGAAACAAACTGAATCGGCAACATGGAATTTAACCATCAACAATCTTCTGCTAGAATTTCATGAACTATATAGATACAAAAAAGATCACCTTGAGAGATGGAGATGATTCCAGAGCTGCGGACTTTAAGATGCCAGCAATAGCAACACCAACAAGAAAAGGAAACAGCGTGATATAAAGCTTCCTTTCATGTGCACAGTAAGACAACTCACTGATTGAGGTAACTACAAGTACTGGTACATACAAGTATTTGGTGACTATCAAAACAATGTCAAGAATAAGTTGAACGAAATTGTCCAGTGCTCTATTCCAAGGGAAACTCTTGACAGGTGTAGGAGTGCTGTCCCACAATTTCCTTGCCCGGTCTATTATGTTCTCCAAGTTAAATTTGTGAGGTTCATCAGATTGTCCAGCTGCTATGTTCATATTGCAGGCTATTCTAGGTCTTGCAATTGGACGTGTCCCATATGATCTGATGCTCAAAATGCACATATTAGACTTAGTCAACGGTCGTAAAATCTGCCAAGATAGAAGGCGACTGTCATCCAGATTGAGTGAAGTGAATAACAGGAGAAAAGAAGCAAGCCAGAAAAAATATTGAATAAAAAGAACAAAGACAAAAACAATAAACAAAGAGCAATAAAAACAAGAGAAAGAACCAAAACAAGGACAAGAGAATAGGGACTACAAACATTCTGGAATTGGTTTGTCAACCCAAAAAGGAACTAAATAAATGTATCTTCCCATTTAGATGTAAAATATAGAATGCAAACAGTAGCTTGGTTTCAATATATATAGCATAGGGACAGATGACTAAAATAAGATCAAACATCAGAAAAAAGATGAATCAAATAAGTCTTCCGCTAGTAAACCAACATGGATATGAGAATATTGCAGGCAAACTTTCCATGGCAAATATACGAGAGTTCAGCTTATCAACCTAACCATCAAAGAGCAATTAAAATACATTTCCCTTTTTATCGCTTGCGGAGAAATACAAAAAAAAAAATAAGAAGAAAACCCCTTTCAGCAGAAAACAGATTAACCTATCATCAATGCTGCTTTCTACATATTTGAAACTTCAGCTTTCCATTGTATGATCATTTGCCAAAGTCGTGATATTTTGTCAATGTGGTGCTATATAGTAAAGTAAAAATTAGATTTTCCACACCTACTATTACAGCAATACTAGCAAAGAGTAAATCCAGCAGACATTAAAAAAATTCACCGTACATCAATTTTCCACTCATTGTCTAGCATCCAATACTTAAAAACTAGAGTCATATCCATGATTAAATATTCAAGAAACACAAAAGTACGAGCTAAGCAATCAAAAATGCTAAATTGCAAAAAGACCAGAACTTTATTAGTGGGTGAAATTCTAAACTTATGTACATAGCAGAAAACGAACTGTTGAGAAATAAAAATCTCTTTATGTGATGAGGGTCACCTGAAAGCCATTGGCGGCTGGAGAATTAAGTTTGAGAGACATCATAGTAGGGAACTGAAGTTTTGCAGATACACTCGAAAACTGTGTATAAGAAACTGCCATTTTTAAACTAGTTTCAGAAACGCCATGAAAGATAAGGTCTTTTTAGGCATGAAATTGAGGGGTTTAAGGGGCGAGTCTTGGAACTTGGAAGAGTGGAGTCGGATCCGGGTAAACTCACTGAAGCGAATTTGGATGATCCGTAGAGCCTTAAATGGGCCGTCTATTTATGGGAAGTATACAATTGAAACTGAAAACGGCAAAGGGCCAAATATACCCCTCTACTTTGGAAGAATACTCCCGTTATATTATTGGTTTATCTATACTCCTGTAATCATACTTTGGGTTCAAATATACCACTCATTTAAACGGAGGGACACGTGTCATCGTCATGTTGGTAAATTCTAAATATTTCCTAATTAATTAAAAAGACCCATTACTCATACCCGAAAAATAATTTTTTAAAGCAAATTTTTTTTATATAAAATTAAAATAAAAAATAAAAATATTTTTTTTTCAGTTTTTACAAAAAAACTGCTTTAGAAAAAACTGAAAAATATTTTCTAAAACAATGTTTTTGTAAAAACTGAAAAAAAAAAGAAAAAAAAACTGAAAATGAATTTTCTAAAGCAATTTTTTTTGTAAAACCTGGAAAAAAATTGAAATTTTTTTTTACTAAAAACTGTAAAAAAAACGAAAATATTTTTTTTTTCAGTTTTTACAAAAAAAAAAACTGCTTTAAAAAAAGCTGAAAAATATTTTCTAAAATAATATTTTTGTAAAAATTGAAAAAAAAACTAAAAAGTAATTTTCTAAAGCAATGTTTTTGTAAAAACTGAAAAAAAAAAATATTTTCTTTTTTTCAGTTTTTAGTTAAAAATATTTCAGTTTTTTTCCAGTTTTTAATTGCTTTAGAAAATTGCTTTTCAGTTTTTACAAAAATATTGTTTTAGAAAATATTTTTCAGTTCCTTTAAAGCAATTTTTTTGTAAAAACTGAAAAAAAAATATTTTCGTTTTTTCAGCTTTTAGTAAAAAAAATTATTTTTCGGGTAGGGGTAATGGGTCTTTTTAATTAATTAGAAAATATTTGGAATTGACCAACATGACGATGACACGTGTCCCTTCGTTTAAATGAGGGGTATATTTGAACTCAAAGTATGACTGCAGGGGTATAGATAACCCAATGGTATAACGAGGGATATTCTTAGACCATTTTCGAAAGTAGAGGGGTATATTTGGCCCTTTGCCGACCTGTAAAATAAAAAAAGTCATAAATTTTTTCTAGTTCTTCCTTTGCAAAATTAAAGTAGGCATCGCAAGATAATTGAGTTGAAGTTGAAAAAAAAAAGGGCAAAAAACCAAAATAGGCAAAATTTAAGAAATTTTTAACCTAGCAGGTATTTTATATACATGGCAATTAAATAATTATATTTCCTAGCAAAAAGCTTTAAATACCTAGACCCAAAATCACGTACTCAAGGCATTTATTTCCTTGAAAAAGGCTAATCAAGTTATACTATTTAAAAGAGACTTGTACTTAATTATTGTTATTTGCTCACATTACATAGTGTTTTTTGTTCTCATTCACAAAATAGTGAAATTACCAAATCTGAAATATAACATGTATATATAATAATATACATATAGAAGGGTGGAATATAAATTGTGATAATATATGTTGAATAAATCGTGTATAATTTATAATAAACTACAATTCAACAGATAATTTGTATACGATGTAAACCATATATAATTTAAGGAATTTTCATAAACCACTATTGTTTTGTGGCTATTAACTTTTTATAGCTACCATATACATAATTACTTCCTATGACTACTATTCAGTTGTTACGGTAGTGTATTCGCTTTGTTGTATTCATGAATATAGCAGCAAAAAGCGCTAAAAATCAGGGCAGTCCAACTGTACGCGCATGTATTCACATGTATTCGCGCTGTTGTATTCATGAATACAGTAGCAAAAAGTGCTTAAAATCAGGGCAATCCAGTTGTACGCGCATGTATTCGCATTGCTGTATTCATGAATACAACAGTAAAAAGCGTCTAAAATCAGGGCAGTCCAGCACTCCAGCTGTACGCGCATGTATTCACGCCATGTATTCATTAATACGGCAATCACCTTAAAAATAGGTATGTCCAACTGTCTAAGAGAGAGAAAAAACATAAATAGCGTATTTCATTCATCAATTGTAGTATATACCATAAATATTTATTTTGCTATAAAATATAAAAGATAGCTATAGAAAATAATATTTTAAAATGATTTTGATTTATAATAAATAGGGTGTATACCTTTGCAATAAGAGGTAAAATTTTCTATAATTTACACCAAATAATATACCAAGTAAAAATCATGTATATATTATTGTTATATTTTATCATAAATTCTTCAGCCATAAGTGTGTGTGTGTGTGTGTGTGTGTGTGTGTATATATATATACGATATAATGATGGTATTAATTATGTATAATTACAAGAAAATTCTAGCATGTTAATATACACAATATAATGATAGTATTATATAGTGTATAAATCACAGTGTTATTTTAAGTATATTAATGTTATATTTTATCATTTTAGTTCTCTTTAGTATGTGGTTGAAGAATAAATATCTTTTTAGAAGAAGATGGCGTAAATGAGCAAAATAGAGGAAAACTTCTTTGAGATTTTTGGTACTTTGGTTTTATGGGAAGAGATAGAAAATCTAAAAACCTTTACAAGATGTTACTGAGAATGGAACTATTTCCTTAAATTTGGGTGCTGCCAATTTGGTTTTTAAAATGGAAATAGTTTACTTAAACATTGGGTGCGAGTGCGACATTTAAGTTTTTAAAATGAAAACGATTTCCTTAAATATTGGGTGAGGCATTTAAGGAATTGTAGTTATATATATTCTTTTATAATGCTACATTTGTAATAAAATCTGTTATTTTTGGAATAAAGAAAAAGTATTATTAATTAAGAAAATAATTTTTATAAAGAGATCATCCGTGTAAAAAATTATGAAAGGGAAAGGAGCTGAGTTTCCAATTTTCTTTAACATTTCATGACATTACATTACTTTCTTCGTTCAAGGAAAAAATGGCATGGTTTGGATTTTGATTTACGATTATTTGTATATGGTTTATAGTTTATTTAAATTTGATCGGTTTCATTAGAAGAAAAAAGTTAGTTATTTGACAAAAATAATATTTGGTACACTAACCAAAATGATTCTGAGTATAGAACTCCAAAAATCTTATTAAACGTGTAATAATGTCCAAACCAAACAGGTAAATTCTTACAAAACGAATATACTATGCATGAAATGCTAAGGAATGAAAAGGCTGGGGAAAAAAATCAGTTCCATTAAATGACGATGGAAAATTTCCACCACTTGAAAGTCGAAGAAAAATATTATAATGTAAAATTAAATTACAAAAATGTTAAGACGCTGAATAATTTAGACTGACTTTTGAAGTGGGATAAATTTTCAAAGCTTGTGAAAATTAACTATATAGTTTTGCATAAACACTGTGTTTGGAATAAATACATGGCATGTATTTATTTTATACACTTCAATCACTTCACCATAATTAATTGTAGTGCATTTTTACCTTAATATTTCACTTAACCATGATTAACTATATAGTTTTGTATAAACACTAGGTGTGAATAATTTTTTCCCAGCACTCAGTGTTGTATTAAGACCCTACAGCTAGATGGCCCAGTGTTTAGACAAGATTTCGAGTGTACAGACTACAGAGCTTTGGCTCACTGGTGGAAAAGTACCAAATCTGGCTGAAAAGGGACAAATTCAGTCCTTCGCCAAAACATAAAGCCAACTTTGCCCAAAGATTTCATATACTATCAATTATTTGGTTTTATTCAAGTTTGTTGCCAGCCCCGGGACCGCACATCCACCCCCTGTTCAACTTTATCTATGGCACATAATTTCCTTCTGAGGCATAAAATTAGCAATCAAACATAGGGTACATTTGAAAACTAAGCCAGGATACACGGGAATACTTCTACAGCAATTACAAACTCAGCAAACAAAACTCTTCCACAAAATATCTTGAAGCAGTCTCTCCTTGTGGAAAATAATAAGGCTTCACAAATACCTGCAAGAAAGAATGGAGGAGCATTACTGTCATGTAATGTCAAACAAACGAAAACACAAATCTCAATAGAAGTTCAGAACTGCCTTTCCAGAATGACGATATACACATTCCAAGTAGTGCTCATTTGTTGAAAAAAAAAGAATTGTTAATTAAACCAAAGAGTTTATAGGTCTCTTCATAACATTATTTGCTCTCAATGACTAGATTAGCTAGGAAACACTCAGTTCTTGGTCAAGCAGAGTATGGACAACAAGTAAATATCCGAGAGTTGATACTTAAATTTGAGCATCAGATACAGCATTTGACCCATCAATATGCTACGTAAAACCTAATTCATTACAAGGACTTGAGACAAATAGAGAACGAGGAAAATAATGATTTTGTTAATTAGAGAAAATAACTGGTGTAGAACAACTGGCAGGAATTAACTTGTGCCAGTACATACTCCTGTCGCCTCAAAGGACAATTCAGAAACATTTCATGCTACATTATAGATTCTCTTATCTTTTTTTCTTTATTCAGGTACGACGCAAGAGAGAGAGAGAGAGAGAGAGAGAGAGAGAGAGAGAGAGAGAGAGGGGAGAAGAGAAGAGAACAAGAAAAGTCAAAGGAGGTGGCATGATAAACATGGCAGTTGACAACAACTGGCTCATTACCATTTTCCAGAAAACAATTGCTAGATGAAGAGCTTTTACCTTAAAACATCAGGAGGATCAAACCACAAGTATATCCTAAGGAAACAAAGGCAAGGAACTGAGTCCTAAATTCTCTGGAATTCCCATCATTACGTTAAGATTCTGCAAGGCTTGACCAGAAGCTCCCTTAACAAGATTATCAATCTACAAAAGGTAATTGGGAGTTTGAATTTAGTAAGCAACACCAAATCTAACCAAAATATCACATGCAATCTATAAAAACATGCTGCAAAACTTACAACAGATACTATTATTGCTCTCCCAGGAATCCGGTCTGGAAATACATTCATGAGGCAGTAATTTGATCCCGTAACATGTCGAGTATAGGGAACTTCTTTGTTCTTCAGCAACACCACAAATTTTTCATGCTGGAGAAGGTGAAATACAACACATATATCAATCCTAAAGGGAAAACATAACCTTTTCTTATGCATATGCAGATGAATATCATAACTACTTATCTTGGACTCTAAAGATAACAGAAGTGCCCTCCACTTGCACACAGATATATAAATATCTCAATATCTTTTGGTGTGGGGTGAAATGTTATATACAACAACAACTACGTCCCAATCCCAACACTCGTTGGCATCAGCTATATGAAGTGTTATATGTATTGCTATTAATTCCAGCAGTGCTATTGTGGTCAAACTGGAAAGATGAGACTTGAGATTCGAGTACAACTTCTTTTAACAACAGTACTTATAAGGAGAGATCAGCTGTCAGATAATTCATGCATGGCTAGTTGAAAGAACTGGTTTGATCCAGACTAAGCTTTGATTACATTTGTATGAGGCAGACCTAATAAAGAACCAGACTAGTCATACTTCTCTTAAAAAGGTCATTGACCATAAAATGCAAAACAAATGCAGGTTTAATCACCCACAGCTAAGATATCACCGTGCTTGGTAGTTGTAGCTTTAGCAATTAAAACCCCAAGTTTACCTTTCTTTTATCGACCTTCTTAGACAACAATCATTTTTTATTCCGATTTAGCAAAAACTTCTAAAATTATGCCTTCAGATTGTATAATAAAAATTTAATATAAGTGTAGTCTTTCCAGCTATTTTTCTGGTTCTAAGGTTGCTGGTACTATCTTTCTGGTCTTTGTTGTTGTTACTGTTCTATTGTTTCTTTTCATCTTCTTGAGCCGGGGTCTATCAGAAACAACCTCTCTACCCCCAGGGTAGGGGTAAGGTATGCGTACACACTACCCTCCCCTTGTTGTTGTAGTCTTTGCACAAAAGATAGATTACGTGGTTTCTCATAATTACAAGAAGACCTCGTCACAAGTTACAACTACAAAAGGTATCTAAGGTCAGTGAGTAGCATGAAGCCACGTACTCCCTCTTTTAACAAACTGAAAACTCTTCCTAATTTGAAAAGGGAAAAAAACACTTGGGATGTGACATCATATGCAACCACAGAATACATTGAAAACAGAAATAGATTGAGGATTTTACTAACTGGAGAAATGGAGTTCTATCGGGCTGAACTGCAGAAACAAAAATGGTAATGAAATCCATGAATTAATCGCTACCCAGGTCATGCAGCGGAAAGTTCATACCTCATAGTAGTTAACAAGGCGATCTTTCAAATCCTGAGTTGTCACCCCTGGAGCCATTTCCACATATATAGTAGATTGCATACCACGGCTCTGTAGCACAGAAAATAACGCAGATAAAAACACAGACTAAGAGGAGGACCTACTGAGCAGCGCAAACTAGACAAACTTGAAGAATGTTCAGCTATTACCATTGGCATAAGATGTGGAGTGAAGCTAACAGTAACCTTTGAATTTGCAGCTTCTGATAATCCTTGTTCGATCTCTGGCACTGTGAATGAAATCAGAACTCTTAATTGTAGAAATTACACTTGATAAGAATTTTCCTAAGCAAAACTCAGGAGAATGGAAATTTTGTCAACAATGAACTACCCGTTTTGCAAACTTCTGAAAACTTGAGGTATATCACATGATAAAAAGAGAAGACATAAACAACTGAACTTCATGCAGAATCGAAGTCACTCAACTAAGACCATTAAGTTAAAAGCCTCAGTGTTTCTCTGATATAAGAATACTTCTAAACTAAAGTCAATTACAAAATAAATCGTAGTATTCATCAAATAATAATTGTTGTGCTTGACGTGATCTGATCCTAGTGTATTGGTTAATAATAGTCTTTCATATTACAGCAAAATACTATTCCCACCATTCTAAGAAAGAATCATGTTATTGCTATTTCAAAAGCCAGATGAATTTTGTTTTTTTTATTGTATAAATACTTAAAATATCTTTTATATTTTAAGTACCCTCTTGTCCCACTTTTAAGGACAAGAGTGGGTTGCTCTAGTGGTGAGCACCCTCCACTTCCAACCAAGAGGTTGTGAGTTCGAGTCACCCCAAGAGCAAGGTGGGGAGTTCTTGGAGGAAGGGAGCAGAGGGTCTATCGGAAACAGCCTCTCTACCCCAGGGTAGGGGTAAGGTCTGCGTACAAACTACCCTCCCCAGACCCCACTGATGGGATTATACTGGGTTGTTGTTGTTGTTAAAATATCTTTTATCCTTTCCTGAATTGGTTCAACCTTCAGCTTGGGCTGACAGAGTATCATGTTAGGGTGAGATGCTATGCCAATAATTAGTAATCTTAATGTAGCAATTAACTTAGTAAATTTCTCCATTTAAGAAATTAAGAAATAATAACTATAACAATTCATTATTTGCATAGCGGAAATGGATTACTGACCATGCCGATGTCTGGTTATACCATAAGAATGTATTCCTTCGGCTATTTCAGTGAACAAATTTGCCTCCTTTGCAGCACGACCTTCAAGATAAAGTTCGAGAAGCTGGTTACTACTGCTAAAGTAGTACAAATGGCTGTCATGACTAGGAAAGGTTACGAAAAAGTACAAACCTGCTCCACTAACACCAGATTTTGAATCGATAATTATGTTTCTCACTTCAATGAGGTTGGACTGCAATAATAAAGACAGAATCAACCAAGGAAAGGAAAAACTAAATACATTAGCATGAGCATTATAGCATCTGTGCATCAAGCACCTTAAGCTAACAGCAAGGCAAAAAAAGCATGTGTTCAAATTATAAAAGGCCTATTTTAGTTACATTTTGTAAAAGAAGCTGACACAAGTAAAAGCCATTTTTCTCAAGAAAGAGGGATCGTAAGATTTTCAGAAAATTGTAGCAGACACTCGTGAATGCACATTTAATGGAAATTGCATCAATCTCAGATATCAGAAACTGGAAGAACAACAAAACCGACTAGTCAAACGCACTTTCAAGAAGTTCACCTATATTAGCAACTTAAACTTTAGTCAGGTACTGGTTCAATTGGTATCTGTTGTTTACTAAATTACGATAAAAATGGGCTTCTGGACGACTAAAAAATTTACACAAACATTGAAATTTCTTACCTGGGATGTTCCAAACTTGCTTTTGGTTCCAAAGATTGGAGATTTTAAAGGTTAAAAAGGACTTAAGTAAAAGTATGAGATGAAGGTCAATAAAAGGTTATTTCCGAGAAGCTTATTTTCTTCTTATAATTTTAGAAGGAATTATTCATTTAAATTTCAGATTTTCCAACAAAGGAGGCCTATATAACCAGATACTTCCATTGTCAAAAACTTCTGACAAAACTCACAATGCAGGCAATAAAAGATAGGCTTCGGTTTTCAACTTAGATGCAAACCTTTATCAAGGGAATAAGAGGAAGTTGAACAGATGTTGGATAACAACCAGGATTTGCAACCAGACGTGCACTTTGAATTTCTCTCCTCGAAATCTCAGTCAAGCCGTAGACTGCTTCTTGCTGCATCAGTCGAAGAATACTCATTCAAACTGCTGAGCTTATATTGGCCACAAGGAGATACTCAATATTTGTACCAAACATGAAGTTCCTCTTTTTTCATTTTTCTGGAACGAGGGAGAGAAGAAATCGACTACTCTACCTGCAAAGCCATTGCTTTGTGAGGCTGGCCGTACCATTCCTCATACTCAGCAATATCACACAATCTGAAGTCCTACATGACCATGATGATGACAGTAAGTATAGAAAAATTTTGAGATGCAGAGAAGTATAACAGAAGTATAAACTGAATGCATACCGCAGAAAGATCAACAATCTTTAGATTTGTGGGAAGACTTTTGATAATTTCCTGCAAAATGTAACTAATTAAAAAAATAAAAACTTATATACAAGTCTCAAGATCTCCATTAGAAATTATGATAGGCAAATGAAACCACTCTTCCTTCGATAAGAGGCTGATTGATTTTGGGAAATCTGAGATATGGAATTGCTACAAACCTGAGTTGTACCATGTGGCAAACAACAAAAAACAGCATCCACAGCAGAGAAATCTGCATCCTTAACAGCAACCAGACTCGGAAGATCCTGAATGGGAATGGTTGATAAGGAAAAGATATAGAGGAAGTAAAATTAATACTTCATGGTCTAAATTGAAAATGCACAATCCTTCCCCTCAGAAAGCAAAGAGCATGAATGAAAAATGATCTTACAAAATTCTAATAGAAGAGAGAGATATAGAAGAGACTCAATCTCCTTCATGATTCTTTCATATAGTCAGAAAGTCAAGCAAAAAACAAAGATAGCAAAATAGATCCACAATTACTTGTCCAATATTTTCCTACTTTTGAGTCCTATATGAAATTCAAAAGTAATTCCAAAAAGCATAAGAAAGAATACAAGCAGGTGAATATGAAGATCCATACTTGTGTGACCAGGTGAGGAAAAACTGATTCTATTGATTGGCCAGCTTTCCTGTCAGCGGTCATCAAAGTAATCTGAAAATGTGGATGATTTGCCAGGAGTCTAATAATCTGCAACAAGTTTTATACTTGTCAAGCGAAAATAATAGATTGGAGGGATGGTCATGATACATCTAATGATATATGAAAACAAGAGCATGATGTAACCAAGCAAAAGTACCCAAAATGACATGATAGCACGCACTGCAGAAGGAGAACATTAACTTATCTGGATAAATGGGTACAGAAAAGCGCCATTAACATTTTAGCCACACTGGGTTCTTCAGTTAAATTACAGTGTGTGTGTGTGGGTGGGGGGGGTGGGGGGGGGAGTTATTCTCTGATTCATCTTCGAAGAGTTTTCATCCCATACATAATGCATAACTTTTTCTAATCGTTATCCACACATACCACTTAACTTCTAATGCTCAAAAGTAAAAACTCTCCTCTCGAGCATATCATGATTTAGAAATATAAGTATCTTCTTCCACTATGTAAGATCTCCAAAAACGATTTGACTACCCACACACAAAGTTTTAGAAGAAACCGTAGATTCATTTTCCATATCGTTCCCTGATAGATTTCACCATCTTCAATCTCTTTGAAACATTATAGCAATAAAAGCTACTTGTCCTCTTAAATATTAGGAACCTATAGCCTGTTTGGCCAAGCTTCTCCAAATCCAAAAGCACATTTTTTTTCAAAAAAAAAAGTGCCTTTTTTTTCAAAGTTGAAGTGTTTGGCCAAGAACAAAAAGTGCTTTTGAGTAGAAGTAAAAGTAATTTTGGAGAAGCAGAAAAAGTAGCTTCTCCCTAAAAGCACTTTTGAGAAATGTACTTTTGACAAAAAGCACTACTCAAAATAAGCTGATTTTTGAAGCTTGGCCAAACAAGCTATTAAACTATCTTGGTTGTTTTAACAGCACGCGACGATCATCAGTGTAGTGGAAAAGGTTACTTTCCCGTCGTACCTTAAACCACAAACCTTGCACAATCCAAGTTCAGAACAACTACATTAGCACTGTGAGTGTTATCAAAGGTGCGCTTAAGCACTGAAGCGAGGCTCAAAACATGTTGAGCGCTTCGCCTCATTTAGCGGGCGCCTCAATGTTGTCATCAAGGCTCTAAGACATACATTTCCTTGCCAATGAGTGTAAGGATGAAGAAACGGCATTAACCAACTGATATTTCACTTTATCGTAAATTTTCCTCAATCCTTTTGTCCATATATTTGGTATTCATGCTTATGGATATTAGTCTTGGACTACACATAAATATTTGTAGTTTTTCTCCATTTGCGCCTTCCTTCACTAAAACCCACGCTTTATTTGCGCTTTGCGCTTAAAGCCCCAACAGACCTTAGAGCTTTTTTGCGCTTTTCGCCTTTGATAACACTATCTCAAACAATCAGAGTTTGTCTTGAAAATGATCTTTTTTCGGTTTTACATCTAAGCATGTTTATTGAGCTTAGTTTTAAAAAGTATTAGGGCAACATGTAGATCTTGCTGCCAAGATGATAGCAATTTTTAAAAAGCATATGAGATAGATAAAATAAAATAAGGGCAAGAAGCAATCTCTACCAAGTGTCAGTTTTGCATTTCAGTTTTTTGAATTGCTAAAAAAACTTATGTTTTCAAATGTAATGAAAAGAAACAATGAATCGCTACAAAAAACTACTCTCTCTGGTTCAATTTATGTGAACGTCCTTTTTAGTCGAACTCTTCAATTTTAGGTTTCCACTATTACCTTCAGTCAGTGAGAAGTTTTCACAACCACCCAAATGGTATAGCATTTTCAAGACCACACGTGTCAAAAGTCTTTTTTTCCCTTAAACTCTGTACCCAGTCAAATAGGTTAACATAAATTGAAACATAGGGAGTAATTCTTAGTGCACGAGTAAAATAAACATTTATCAGACATCATCCTTCAAGCATAATGTCGGATTGCGTTCAAAGAGTATAACTTTAAGACTCGTTTGCAGGCTTATTTCTTTTCAAAATTCACAGAATGAAAATCAAACAATCAGAAATTGAACAATAAACTGAAGCGGGGCCCATCGACAAAGAGCAAGATCAAAATGTGCAGACCTCAGTACCAGTGTAACCACTAGCTCCAAGCACACCAATACGCAATTTGTCCAGCTTGTTAGCTTTACCCTCCCCAAACTGCAAGCCTTGCGCTGGTGATGATGTCGCCATCGATGTAGCTCTTATTCTGAACTTCCCAACCTTACTAACCTTCAGTTCCCCCTGCAAATCGCTTCACTAATCAGAAAGCAGGAAAATAGAAAGGTGCATTTCATAAAGCTAACCCTAACTAATTATGGACTCGATTGAGATTTCAGTTGCGAATTAAATGAATGCGGATTCAAAATTGAGCATTTAGATTGTTGTACTTAACCTGAATTTTCCAAACGGAAGAAGCTCCATTGAAGTGGCTAGAACTGAGTGCAGCCAATGAAGAAGACATTGGAGATTCACACTTTCAGTATGAATTTCGCAAAATCAGGAAACAGATGAGTAAAGAGTATAGAACTGTCTCTGTGGACGAACGAATATATAAAGATCAATTGACCCGATTCCACCTACTCCAATTTTAGACATGTGATTCTTGGGCATATATTAGTACTGTGTTTTGATTGAATATATTATGAAAATGTGAAATAATTGATGGGTAAAATAGACTATTTAATTCATTAGCGTGAAAGTATAATGAGTGAAGGAATTAATTGGGGGAGAGTTAGATTTAAAATCTCTTCAAAAAAGTCCATATACTACTAATTAATTAGTGGGAAATATTTTTATTTTGGTATACAATTGGCTCGAAATAAACTTAAATGAAGTGAAATGGTGAAGGGAGATTCATATAACCAATTCCAATTTGTTTGGAATATGTAGTTATTGTTGTTGTATAATAAAGTTTTTTTAACTCCTTGCCATTTACTGCAAGTGTGTTGATATTATAGCGGAAAAATCTAAAATTATTGGCCAGAAATATAATTTGGTGGGGGGAAAAATCTAAATTTAATTTGGATTAGTTAGCTAACGAAGCCTTGGTTTGGTGATTACCAAATTCAAGTTAGCGGTGTTGACCAAAAAGTCTCAGATTTATATTTTTTATTATCAAAATGTAAGTTAATTGTCTTGTTTACTAAATATTTGTTAGAGAGACTCCGTCTGCATTATTCGGTATTGTGTAATATATATCTTAAACGAAAAACTTATTAGTTAAATGAATTACATACCGATAAGAAAAAACTGAATATTGGATTTAATTGTTGGAAAAAATATTTTTATTTAAAAAAAATGTCAAGTTATTTTATAGGACAGAAAAAGGGAATAATTTTTTTTTTGTTGCAATACTAATATTTATTTGAGTATTGTCCGTTCAATTAAATATTGTTGAATCTTCAGCAGAAGAATATTAGATATGTGGTAGGTTTAGAGACGGTTGTTTTGAATCTTTCTGGCTCAATAGTATTTGTTAACTCAAAATTTTATTACAGGAAAAGGCTGTAAGATAGTCGGAGGTGATTTATAGTACGATGTGATGACCCGCCACGTCACCATGCCACATAGGTACCATTTGGCATATATTAATACCATGTGGAAGCTTACGTAGGAGAAAAGTTTTTATTTGTGAGAAGATTCTACAGAAGTATGGATATTTCCTTTGAAAGACCCTAGATGCTTATGGATTTGCTATGAAAGTTCTTCGAATCTTCTAGGCTTGTAGAGAATTCTAGAGAAAGCCATTATCTTGTAAATATTAAGGACTTGTGTAACAATTAATATTTACACTCTAGCCCGTAGGAGACTAGTATATAAAGGGGGTCTTCATTTGTAATTAATCAAGCAAACAATTCAAATTCTCTCTACTACAAAGCTTCATTTAACAATTCTCTTGTATTCTTTCTACCATTCTCTTAGCGATCTTGAGTGTAGTAAGGCTGACCTGGCATAGCAAGAACGTCAGCAAGTTGTGCAAGATCGTGAGCGAGGTGTGCCGCACGTGTACTTAGTTAACGACTAAGGGCGTGACAACGTGGTATCAGAGCAAAGGTTGCAACTAAGGGAATGGTGAACGACGGAGAAATTAACGTTGTCAACACCCAAGCCAACGTCATAAGATGCTACTGGCAAGAGTGGTCGTAACAAAAAGAGAAATGCCACCAACAAGAGCCAGGAGGTGCCATTCGAAGTTGTGTCAAATGAAGGGCTTACATCCCAAGAACCATCTGCCACTGAGGCGAGCGAGGATGAAGTGGATGTCCTGCCCGAGGACATCTCGCTCGGTAAAGAGTGGGTAATGAAGATGAACGCGGGGATGGACGTCGTGGAGATCTTTGGACAACGCTTGGGGAAGGTGGAAGGCACCCTTAGCGTTCTTGAAGGGCATACCCTTGAAAAGATTGAGAGTATCCGAAATGACTTGGAGGGATGTACACAGACCGAGATGGAACTAAGGCAAACTATCACTGCCTTAGAGTGCAGACTCATGGAGGCTTTGAGTACTATCGATGCTATGAAGGAAAAGATAGAGTCACTCGAGGAACATGTTAGTGCTGGCGTGACCGAGGCAGCCAGCAATGTTGTGGTTATGGGGGAGGCCAAGATCGAGGCTCCCAAACCCCCGGTGTTCAAAGGTGTTCGTGATACACAAGAAGTGAAAAACTTCCTTTGGCACTTGGAGAACTACTTCAAGCACGACAAAGTGAGGGACGACGAGGCCATGATCAACACTGCAGTGTTGTACCTCTCAGAGACTACCATGCTATGGTGGAGAAGGAAGATGGCCGGCGTGGATAAAGGTCTATGTACTATTAGCACGTGGGATCAGTTCAAAGACGATTCCAAGCGACAGTTCTTTCCAAACAATGTTGTGTACGAGGCGAGGCGCAAGCTTAGGGAGTTGAAGAAAACATGGAACATACGTGTCTATATCAAGGAGTTCACTACCCTTATCCTTCAAATCCCCAACCTGACCAATGAGGACTTGTTGTTCCATTTCATGGACGGGTTACAAAATTGGGCTAAGCAGGAGTTGCAACGCCGACAAGTCGCAGATATGGACCAAGCCATAGTGGAGGCCGAATCATTGATGGATTTCAGGCATGACAAGTACGACAAAGGCAAAGGCAAAGAATCAAAGTTTAACAATGTCAAAGGTGGGGGAGACAGTGGCAAAGGCAAGGAGATACAACAACAATACTACAAGACTCAAGATTCCAAAAAGTCGAGTGGTTGTCAGGGCTACACCGAGAAGAAGGCGCAAGCCGAAAAAAGGGATGTTACATATGCGGAGGGCCACACAGCTTCACGAATTGTCCCGACCTAAAGAGCCTCAGCACCATGGTCCATGAACGGAAGGAGTAGCCGCAAGGAGAGAGTTCGGGAACCACACAGTTGGGTATGATCGGATTATGCGGTGCTGTCACAAAGCAATCTATCCAACCAACCTAGAATGGCAATCAATACGTGGATCTCACCATCAACAACAAGCATGCTCGTGCAATGGTGGATACTAGAGCAACTCATAATTTCGTGACTGAAGCTGCCGCAAAGAGACTAGAATTGAAGCTTGCTCCAACCAACTCTCGCGTTAAGACTATGAATGTCGAGGTACAGAATGCTCGTAGGGTAGCTAATGGAGTTGGTGTCAAATTGGGAACTTGGAAAGGTATGACAAACTTTACCGTAACCGCTATGGATATCTTTGACATCATATTAGGGCAAGAGTTCTTTAGACATTGTCATACTCTGATCGACCCCTACCTCCAACATCTCTTGGTTATAGAGCGAGAAGGAGCTTGCATGGTACCTACAGTGACTATGCCACACGGACAAAGCCAAGCACAACTCTCAGCTATGCAGGTTGTCAAGGGGATCAAGAAGTTGGAGTCGACGTTCGTGGCAACCATCGCAAGTCTGAAGGAAGACAAGAGTTTTCAAGAGACACTGTCGCCTTGCATAGAGAAGTTGCTTGAGGAAAACAAAAATGTCATGCCCGAGGAGTTGCATAAGCACATGTCGTCCAGGCGAGAGGTGGATCACAAAATTAAGTTGGAGTCAGGGGCTAAGCTACCCGCATTTGCCCCATATCGTATTGCACCGCCCGAGCTAGATGTGCTCAGAAAACAATTGAAAGAGCTGCTAGATGCTGGTCATATTCGATCATCAAAGGCACATTTCGTCGCACCAGTATTGTTCTAGAAGAAGAAGGATGGATCACTGCGCTTGTGCATAGACTACCGAGCACTTAATAAGGTCACAGTGAAGAATAAGTACCTGATGTCGCTCATTGCTGACTTGTTCGATAGACTTCGGCAAGCCAAGTACTTTACCAAGGTGGATCTTCGCAAGGGCTACTACCAGGTTCGCATTGTAGAAGGGACGAGCCGAAGACAACATGTCACGACCCGAAATTCTCACCTTCGGACTGTGATGGCGCCTAATATTTCACTTGTTAGGCAAGCCAACGTTAGAATAATATTATATATTTTTTAAAAAAAAATTAAATTTATTAATAACAAAGAACAATTACGGAAGTAAATTCTGAAATATAGTGAATAATCCATAAAAATAACGGTGTCTAAATACCATCCCAGAATTGGTGTCACAAGTGCACGAACTTCTAGAATAAATACAAATAAAGGTCTAAATAAAATAAAGCTGTCTGAAAATAAATACACAACTAAAGTAAAATAGACGGAAACTTCAGAATTGCGGACGCTGTGCAGTTATACCTCAAGTCTCCTCGAGTAGCTGAAATCCGAGCAAGTCTATAGTACGCCGCTGGACCAACTCCGAAATCTGCACAAGAAGTGCAGAGTGTAGTATCAGTACAACCGACTCCATGTACTGGTAAGTGCTGAGCCTAACCTCGACAAAGTAGTGACGAGGCTAAGGCGGGTCACTTACATTAACCTGTACGCAATATTAGTAACAACAACAAATAATAGAAATAAATCAGATAACTTATTTATAATAATTGAAGCCAACTCAGCAGTCATAACCAATTATCATTTCCATCAATTTTCGTTGCAGCGTGCAACCCGCTCTCACAATATATTCACATTTAATTCTGTTGCGGCGTGCAACCCGCTCCTCCAATATATTTATTTTAATCAAGTCTGTTGCGGCGTGCAACCCCCCTATATATAATTCTGTTGCGGCGTATAACCCCCCTATATATAAGTCTGTTGCGGCGTGCAACCCGATCCTCCAATATATCTATTTCAATCCATTCTGTTGCGGCGTGCAACTCGATCCTCCAATATATCCATTTACCAATTCTTATAGAAGAAATTTCCCCAATAAATGCAATAATTAATATAAAATTATAAGACAACAAGCATACAATAATTATGATTTAATTATAAAACAAACAATGACATATAGCAAATTATTATGGACATCGGGGAGAAAATAGGCAGTTTTTAATATTTAATATGCTAAATGTCAAATAACAATTAAGACACATAATTCAAATAGCATGTAACAATTAATACAAGAATTCAAGAATTAATATTTGACAAAGAACAGGAGAGGAACAATTATTATAATAATTAATTTATAATTTAAAATGATTTATGATTTTTTAAGTAA